GTCCCACCAGCCCACTTCCTTTGCGTCTGTACTATGGGCACCAGCACTGCCTGGGCTGGCTGTGAATCGCCCTTGAACTTGGCTTCTCCTCTCTCACCACTGCACTGACCTGATTTGAGCCTGTACTAAGCTCTTCCAGAACTGGTGCGCTGGCCTCCTTACTGCCCCCGGACTCACCCCAGACACTTCCCCATAAAGCACAAATCTGATCACGTCCCTCCCTAGCCCACAACACGCTGAGATAAAATCTAAACTATTTTGCTTGCACCTGAGGCCCTTAAGTGCGGCCTCTGCCCCCGCTCTGTCCTCTGCCCCAGGACTCCAGGATGCTGTCCTTGTTGGGGTTCCCTGCCAGGCCCAGCACCAGACAGAACACCACCACCTCGAACCCCTGGCCCGAGTACTGTTCTCGTCACTCTTCATGTGCTTAACACACAGGGTCGCGTGTTAAGAACGGAATATTTTCCCAGACACTTTCTGGCAGGTTAAAGCTCTCCTTGTCCTGGGTACCCACACTAGGGCCATGCGAGCTTCCAAGTGTCTACCCGGAGCCCAGGCCCTGCTTCCGAGGACACAGCTGGGCCCCGGTTCCCGACTCCCTGGCCTGCAGCAGTGTTGAAATAAACAAACACATTTAACAAGAATTCTCTGAGGGCCATGCCCTGAAGGGGCGGCCCGCAGAAATCAAAGGCTGAGGGTCGAAGGAGGCCCACAAAACAAATGTGGAGATGCAGTTATCAGCACACCTTCAGAGAGTGCTCCACATGGCGGGCAGCTGCCCTGAGAACAGCAGCGCCAGCCGGTCCTGCCCACCTAGACAGGGGACTGAGACGGAGGGAGTGCTGGCAGGAAACAGACCGAGTGGCTGTCAGAACGAGGGCAGAGATACGGGACAGCGTGTGATCCTGCCCGCCACCCACACAGCATTAAACCTCAAAAGCCCACTAAGAACTTCAGACGGGCGAGTTCTCTGTTTCGCTGAAGCCCGCTGTCTCACTCTTGCTTTCTTCTGGCTCAGGCCTTTGGGGCAGGACAGGTGAGCTGGGCTTAAGCTGTCTTTCTAGCAGTGGATCCTATAGGAAACCCATACATGGCAACCAGAGGAAACAGAAGGCGAGTGATTTCCCACAAACCCGGGTGACTCCCACAAACCCGGCAGAGGATGGAAAGATGCTTGGGGAGAAAAATCACCTGTGGGTAGAATCCTATCCATGCCAGCTCTGGATGCATGGAGGTGGGTCAGGGGGGCTGTACTCCCTCTGGCGTGCTTCCCTTTGTGGGCTGGGGTCAGAAACCCCCAGGGAGATAGGAGACAAGCCACGGGCTGTCCTGGGTGGCCACGGCCCTAGGAGGGAGATTCCCTAGGGAATGGATCCCCCGCAGAGCTGATGACCATCAGGGCGGGACGCAGACTCACTCTGGCAAGAAGAATGGCCTAGACAGCATTCCCACTCTACTGGACACACTGTGGGAAAAACACTAATATTTTTTCCATGCCCTTCAAAAATAGGAAAATACAATGGGGGGAATTTTAACACTGACATGGCAGATAGAGTTCCCGCAGCACCTTCTTAAAACAACACGCTCTGCAAAGGAGCCTGGTTTGGAACTCCCCTTTTCATGGCCTCATAAAACACTGATTTATTGACCTTCAAAGATACACCTTTATTGTTTCAGTTTTCCTGACGTGAGAATTTCTAGTAGATAACCGAAAAAAAGCAAGCTCATATTTCCTTATCAACACAGAGCATCGTTCATATTACAGATTTGCCATTTTCGGGGGGCGGGGAGGGGATGAGGGAGAGGATGTGGGAAGGAAATAATAGGGGAGGCATTTGAAATATTTGGTATCAACAAAATGACCTAAAAGGCCACTCACTGATCTGCATGTGCGTGTGGTTCTCTGAACAAAGTATGAACATAACCAGGTCTGCCCACTGGGATGGGGTGGGCGGCAGGGAGACAGCGGGTGCAGGTGCCAGGCACACACCTATCCTACAGCCCAGAGCTCCGCCCTAGGAGATTTCCTCCCCGGGGTCTCCCCAGAGGCCTTCCAGGGCCCTGTGGCCTGTCTCAGATTAGCCTCCTTACCATCTCAATAAGGGCCATACAAGACTTATCTCAAAACCTATAAATGTTTAACGCTGTTTGGTGGGGCTTCCTGAATTAATTGCTTTGTGCTATTTGTAAAGTCATAAATATGGTTTTTTGTTTGTTTGTTTTTTTGGCAAGATTTCTTCAAGCCTAAACCACTCAGGCCGTCCTCTCAACTGGAAAGCTTTCCTCCTAAACTGCCTCCTGGAATCATTCCTTCTCTGATCCCTCCTCCTAAGACCACTTCAGAAACCCCTTCGGTCCGAAAGCCCTGATTCCCACAGCTGCACTGACTCCTTCCTTTCTGCTCTGTCCCCAACCCTCAGCACTTCTCTCATCACAGCTGCTGTGTTAAAGCTTCGCCTGTCTTGTCCCCACACTGGACTGTGACCTGTGAGGACACAGCTCTGTCTCTATCTCACTTCTCACTCGCACAATGCTTCACATCTCATAAACGTCTGCTGGCCCGGGTATGAATGAATCTGCCCTTCCGTCTTGGAGAACTGGGGATAAACATGGCTGTATAGAACCAAAGACCTTAATCAAAAGCAGCGTGCTTCTATATTTTCTTCTTTGGAATGAACGGCAGAACTCTCAACATAAAAACTTGAAATGTTTTTATCTCTAGGCAAACACTCTTCTTATGTCTGCTAACAAATTCCCTCCCAAAGACAGGCAGAGAGAGATATAATCACAGACATGTTTTAAAAGGCAAAACTTACAGCCTTCCTGGTAAGTTTAAATCTATCTAATTCAGGTAAATGAAACCAAAGACAATTCTTGCAGATAAAGCACTTTCTAGAAGCTGTTTTTGCCAACTATTTTATAAAACCAATACCCCGCCGCCAAGCACGCAAAGCAGTTCATCAAGCCTTGCCCAGTGTGTGATAATTAACATCCATGGATTGACAAAGCAATTCCTTTTTTTGAACTAGTAATATAGGTTGGTCAAAGAAGCAGTAACAACATACGGAGTGCTTGTAACCAGAGTATCTCTGGGGTATAGTACTGCATTTCCACAGTTATTGGATTTCCACTGGGGAGACTGGGAATGAATGATATCATTTGATTAGAAATTCCCATATCATTTGATTGTTTCCTGTTCAGGTGTGATTTGAAAATGCACATAATTCAAGTGGCCTAAAGGGAAATGGAGGAGAATGATCTCTCTGAAAAACAAATTTGTTTTGATAGCATTTGCTGTTAATATTAAAACCTACTTCATTTTATGCATATATGTATGTGGGTAGTTATTGTCATAGCAATGTGAGATGCTTTTTCAAACTGAGTAACTGACAGGTTTTTCTCCCTCGGCTAGCTGTTCACAGCAGCCCTGGTCCTTTGGTTCAAATAAGGTAGCACCCTGTCCAACCTGTTGAACACTTAATTAAGCAACAACTGGAGCGCTTAAAATAAAAAATTCCATTAACTTTTTCCGCCTTCTTTCCCCTCAACCATTCTAAGACCGGTACAAGCAGGAAGGAAATTGAATCTTTATGACAATTTTCTGCTCCAACCTATAGCACATCGCTGTTACTTTTGCGAAGGCTTTCATAACCAGGCTGGCTTTGTCCCTCTTCCCACCGCAAACACAGCCGGCGAGTGCCGCTCCCCGGCCGGCACCGGGTTCTGGGCCATTCTGCGGACCGGTGTTAAGGGAGAAGGGAAGTCCGAAACTGCCGAACCCAGCCCTCACCCTGCCCTCTGAGGAACCTCCAGGTGCACTCGCGTTCTGCAGAATTTGCGGTGCTGGGTTTGCCGTGCTAAGCTCTCCGCCCCGAGCGCAGAAGACGGGTACCGTTTTATTTACTTCGCAAGTGTACTGAGTGACCTGATAAGTAATGATAGAGAAATTTCTTCCCAGAGGACTGGGTGGCAACAAGGATCGGAGAAGACGCTCCTTTGGGGCACCCTGAGCACTCCTCATGCTGAAGCCCTTCACCAGCGTGTGGTACTTCTAACGGGGGGAGCCGCAGAAAAGGGGGCGCTGCACCAGTGAGACTGAGCCCCCGCCCGCAGGGCGTGCTGTCCCGGCCCCACGCGGGCTGAGCTCAGCGCGAGGAGGGCTGCTCCCGGCTGCCCCACTGGCTCCAAGCACCACGTGTACCTCGGCTTCTCCAACTGCAAACAGTTGTTTGTTTTTGTTTTTGTTTTGGTCCTAACATCATCAAAGGGTTTCCGAGAACAAGCGATTCATTCCATACTTATTCAGGCCAGAACCTGAACTGGTGGACCTTACACGGCTTGCGCTGGAAATCGGAGTGGAGAGAGGAGACCCCCAAAAAAAAGGAGGGCAGAGAAAGGAAATCGAACTTCAGCTTTTCTGGAGAAACTGCCCACCCAATTCAGTTTCACCGCAGGCTCCAGACATCCCCGCGAGCCCGGTGCTGCTCTAGCCTTCATGGAAACTGAAGCCGGAGAAGGAGCGAAGCCCAGTTGGAGAGACTGACCTAGAGGTGCGTGGGGCGCGAGTGGCCCAAGAACTCGTATTTTAGGGGTGGATGCGGAATGTGGGCACTGTCTGCCCTTTTCCTTTCCTCGGACCTTTTCCTCCCTCGCCTACTCTGTTCGCAGGGGGAAGCGGCTGTGTCTACGCAGCAGCTCCTCTGCGTGGGAACTTAGCAGGGCTAAGAAATGTTGGGGGAATAAATGACGTCAAAGGTGCCATTCAGCGGGCCTTTGCAAGCACTCACGACCGGCGCTGGGGTCCCGCAACTCCCCCGCAGCCCCCGCTATCCCATCCACTTGCACTTTCCCTCCGGCCACCGTCCAACTCGCGTTAACTGACTCCCCAGGTTTCTGCTGTCTCTGTGCCCAAATCCTCAGCTCGGGACGTCTCGCAGCCCCCGTCCTTCCCCCAGGTCCCGAGAAGGCGCCGGGCGCGGGCGGGCGGGCGGCCTCCTTACCTGCAGCGGGCCGAGCAGCGCGCAGAGCGCGAGCAGCA